ATCACAGAGTTGACAAGGTCAACTCTATTTTTTTCTCGTTTTAAGCTTGAAATTCATTTAAAAAAATTTTCCAAAATGGTTTCAAAAACAAACTTTTGACATTAAATTTTCCTCACAGATATTTCGATTTTACTGCAAATAGCAACTTTTAAAAAAATTTATTTATTCATTGAATAAAAACATCTTCATCACAAAGTGGTGCTTCGAACATTATGATGAAAATCACTGAAAAACAAGTTTCTAATTGCACATAATTGATTAAAATTTATGCAGTTGAATGAAGCAAATATGAAGGTTGCTTTGCCCAAAAGGTTTAACTTTAGCATAATTTAATTTTTTAAAACATGATTTAGAAAATGAAAATTAAAATGCTTAAATAAAATGAAATTTTAAAAAATAAAAAATTCATAAATTTTGTTATTTACTTTTATCCTATCCAAGGCAAAATTTATTCGTCCTTCTTATTTTTTTTTTCTTTTTTCCATTGCTTTATTATTATAAATTTTTAATAAGTTTTGTTATTCTTTACCGTATTTCATTTATAATTTCTTTAATATTTTACTCACTGTACCTTGATCTCATGAATAGCCAGCTAGCTGCTCAAAAAATGGTTTAAAAGAAAATTTCCAAGAATTTCATTTTCTCTACTCACTTTTCTCTTTTTTTTGCTCTTATTTCAATTGCGAATCATGTAATAATTATCAAATTGTTTATGAAAAATATTTTCCTTTTTGGAGAAAACAAAACAGAATGAAAAAATAAAAAACAGCATTAAAAAGGACGAGATTTAAATTAAAATTATTGTATAAAATTTTATTCTGTACCATTAAATGAATAAAATATTATTTTTATTATTCTTTTATAATTGCCTTAGAGGGAACAATTTCACTTATTAAACGTAACTCTTAAAAATTTAAAATATCATAAATAAAAGGGGAAACAGAAAATTCTTATAAAAAGAAATTATTTGTCTTTTTTTTTTAAAATGAGAAAGAAAACAGTAAAAATGAATTTTATATTTTTGTTTCTTCCTAAATTAAGAAAATTACATAATTTCGACAAAAAAATTTCAATACAATCACATATATAAGAGTGTAACCTTCAAAATGAAGGTTCTTCACGGAAAATGAATTTTGAAACTTTCACTTCGAAAATGTTTTCATTTTAAATTTTTATTTTCATTGCAGAAAGAACAAAAACTCAAGTAGGCGTAGAATTTTATTTTATTTATTTTGAATCTCTTGCTTTTTTCTTAAAATAAAATTTTTTTTTAAATTTCTTAAAATGGCAATAAACTCTTTCAAAAAAAGAATTGAAGACATATGGCCACCTTTTTTGATATTGAAATAATGAGGTTTTATAGTGTAGAACAGATTGAAACTAAATACATATAACATAAAATCTATGCAAGTAAGAGGCTCATAAAACTTAGTTATTAAACTTAATATTGCTATGAGAAAGAATTAAGAGTTTTCAGGTGAAAATTTTTAATTTTGTTAAGGGACTATTCCGAAATTCATACGTAAGTACTTACTATACTCTAAACACTATTCAACGAATGCATTGATATTTTAGGGTTTTAGTTTTACTAAGGGCAAATTGGCTATAAGAAACGGATTTCCATTTTTACGGCTAGGTTGTAAGTCGTCGCTAATAGCATATAAGTGAAACTTTATACTGTAATCTTGGACATATTTTTATAATTATAAAAAGAATTTCGCGTAGGCAATTGGTAAATAAGTTGTAATAAGTTGTTGTATCACAAAAACTTCGGAAAACATTTGCATTTGTCTTCTTAGCATAACACGAAAATAAGTAGTCCTTCGATCTTTCTAAAAGTTAATAATAATAGTGAAGTCAAAATAGTTAATATCAGAAGAAGTTAAGGTAGTTTGAATTGTCAATTGTCAGTTTAAATATGAGGAAGACGGGTTCTATTAACAGGCAATTTTCAAATTCATCACTGCAGTCCATATAATATTATAATTCTGTGTTCATAAAAATGAGCGCTCATCACCTTATTGTTAGAAAAACTGTACCTAAACTTAGTCTGCCGTGTATTATAGTATCTTAAACTTAGTTGCCGTGAAATTTTTGTATCTATGTGAATTATTTATCATTATCTATTTTTTCTATTTGAATTGACAAAATCTTTAATTTTCACATTTCCTAATGTCATCTTAACTAAAAAAGGTGTAAAAAATGGCACTATAAATATAGAAAAAGGCAAAATTCTTGTACGTTTTCATTATGAGCAGATTTTTTTTGTTTTGTTTTTGTTCTTGGTAATTCGTTTAACAGATTTGATTTCTTTCTGCTATGATTACCATACATATACATACATATGCATGTAAATATCTTTATCATTGTTTCCTTCTTTTTATACCCTGCACTTCGTGAAGGGTATATTAACTTTGGTATGGAGTTTGTAACTACTTGAAGGAGTCATCTGCGGTATGGACATATATATATATTCTTGCTCAGCGTAAAATTCTGAGTCGATTTAGACATGTCCGTCCGTCCGTCCGTCCGTCCGATCGCACGATAACTAAATAATGCTATCGACACCAAACTTTCACATGTTTTTTCTTTTGTGCCGAGGACGAACCCTATTGTTATTGGACTAATTCGGACAACGGGTTTGGGTAGCTGCCATACAACTCAAGGAGTTTATTTTAAATATTTCGAAAACTAATAAAGCTATAAATATAAAATTTCGTATACATGTGTCCAATTATATTCTACACATGCTCTAAAAATTATAATGGGATAGCTGCACCGGTTCGGGTGGCTGCCATACAACTCCAACAGCAAATTTTTTATATTTGGCAAAATAATAAAGTCAGATTCGTGAAACTTGGTAGTCATGTGTCCATTTATAGGTCAAATGTATTTCTGAAGTTTTAGAAGAATTGCTTGACAGGTTCGGGTACTTGCCATACAACTCTAAAAGCTTATTTTAAATATTTGGAAAAATAATAAAGTCAGATTCATGAAACTTGGCAGTTGTGTGTCCAATTGTAGATCAGATATATGAAGTTTTGATGGAATTGCTTGACAGGTTCAGGTACATGCCATACAACTCCTAAAGCTAATTTTAAATATTTGGAAAAATTATAAAGTCAGATTCATGAAACTTGGCAGTCGGATGTCCAATTATAGGTCAGACATATCCGTGAAGTTTCTATAGAATGACTTCACGGGTTCGTGTAATTGCTACATAATAACGAAAGGTGCAGGGTATAATTCAATCGGTTTATACCGACTGAAACGTTTTTACTTGTTCAATTTACCGATTACCTATACTTATTATATTCCAAAGAACACATCAAATAAGACAGTCATATACCTGCACACCTACATTAATATAATATGCTTATCTGCAACAATAGAATATGGTTGTATAAACCGTGCAGGAAAGATTTATCTATACGTACAAAGCTAACAATATTATCCTTATAAAATTTTATTTAAAGAAAATATTTTTATAGCAGATACGCTGTAAGCTGAAAATCATTTGAAAATTGAAAAAAAAAGAAATGAATATTATTTTGCTTTTCCTTTTGTTCGGGTAATATTCAATAGTTTTGTGCTGTAGGGCATTAAGGAAGTATTAAAATAAAAATCGTTTTAATTTTTTTTTTGTATATTCGCGCTATTCAACATTCTCACACATCAGAAAAGTTAAAAGCTCTTAGCTTTTTATTATTTAATACGTCAGATTTATCCTTACATCCACACATGTAGGAAAAAATTTTTAAGACTTAAATTACAACGTATTCATTTATTCTTTTTTAAGTAAAAGAATTTCAGTCTTTAAATTTGAAAAAGAAATGTACTAAAATAAATTAAGATCATTGAATTTTGCCTTTGTAGCGTCCTAAGTTTTCCAGCTTCTCAGTGGAATCATTGATTATTTCGAATTTCATTGCAATTACCATTTCAAGTTTAAGGACACTAATTTTAAGAAAAATTATTTTCTTTGGATCTTCGTTGTATCGGGTTTTCGTTGTCATTTAATCCTAATGCATAGACTGTAATAAAATCATTTCGTCTTAGAACGCGACACGTGCAATAATAATATTGACGAATTATTTTTACTTGCATTTTTAATAAAATGAACATTTTTCGATTAATATGACTTTATAGTTTTAAAGTAGACCAGTTAGTTAAACGAAATACGCAATTTCTCGGATTTTGCTGCATTTGAAAATTAATTGATGTCATTTAGCAATCAATTAGTTCGCATTTATTATTAATATAAATGAAGTTTTAGAGAAAATTTTTCCAAAATTTTCTCCTGCACCAAAATAATTACAATACTTAACAAATTATTAAACAAATAACAAGATACTGAAATGTTTGAACGCCTTTGAAAAAATTATTTTTTAATACCTTGAAGAAAATAAAGTTTTTCAAATCAAAAATTACTTTGCTCTAGAAAAGAAACCAAATCTCGATTTTTATATTAACCCAATAGAATTTTAGTTTTGGCATAAAAGTTTGTATATTAGTGCCAAAATAAAAGTTTCAAAAAAAAACTTAATGTTTTAAAAGTTTTCATTTCCATAAACGGATTTCCATTCTCTATTTAAACGGAAAAGCAATCATAGAAATCTGTACCAGAAATTTGAATTTAAATCAAATCAAAATTCAATGCGATACTGTTTGCGATATGGAATTTCTAATACAATATAATATTTGTGGGTCAGAGTTAATGTCGCAAACATTCACTTACATTTTTAAATTGGAATACAATTTAACTACAAATGCAAATCATGATAATAATAATAAAAATATTAAATAATAATACTAAGTTGAAAATTTTCCAAAAAAATATGAAAAATTTAAAAACTTACGTATTAGATTTTAAATGGCCATATAACTTTTAATACTCAAGGAATGTATTAGAGCTAAGGTTTAATTTTTAAAAATCAATTGCGTATTTTTATTTTATTACAAAAACATGCAGATTTTAAATTTTTTTTCTTTATTTTCAGATATGCACAGCTAAGTCGAAGGATCCTGAACGCTCACTTTTCTATACAACATGTAAGTAAATTGTAAAAATAACAAACACATTTCTTTGCGAGTGAATCTCTCTCCCTTAAAATGGTAAAAAACAAATAAAAGGAGCACCATTTAAACATCGCGACATATTTAAAATATTCTCTGAAGTCTCCTGCTAAATTAAAATATCTTGTGAAAATCGATTCCTAGCAGCTCATTTAGTAAGAAGCAGAAATAAATATTCTCTGTTATACCTTATTCTGAGGTTCTTAAATCATATATTTAATTGATGTTTTCAAATCATATTTATGCGTCTATCTTACACAGGTAAGGAGTTGTACTTAGTATTCCAAAAAACGTATAATAAAAATAGTCGAAATTGACTAAGTCGGAACTTATAAACATTGTTTCCATACAGAATATTTATCTATTCATGAGTAGGGTTTTTAAAATGTTACGTAGCGGTGCACTTAAAAATAAAACACCCTGTATAAAATACTACAACATGTAATAGAAATTATTTGTCTATCACCTAAAAATTTTCGAGATTAAATCAAAAAAATAAAAAATTACTAATTAGCAATCGAGCAGCTTGTCACATTAACGTTGGAATATTATTAATGCTAAAATTCTATATAGAGAATAAAAATTCATCCAGTCTTTAATCAACACCAAAAATTTTAATAATTTTACCTATCATTATAATTATTATAAAACGAAGGTCAATTGAATTCCAAATTTATTCGTTATTAATCATTGATTGAATTCTTCGAACATAATCATTTATCTTACTTAGTGTTTCTTTCAAGGAATATGTTCATACATTTAATTTTAATAATATGATGATTTTTTGATAGTCAAAACAAAATGCCTCCAAAAATTTCAAATATTCTTTTAGGCTTTGTTATGGTATTCAATGCCGTCTCATATATGAAACACATTGTTTTAAGTGATGCGCTTGTTAAATGATTAATGATTTTTCGCCTATTGTCTTTTTTACTAAAGAATTTTGGAAAAAAAAACAACTGCGTCCTTTTTTATAGACTCACAACGTGATTTTTATATCTAAAAGCATAAAAATTTTCTATAAAAGTAGAATTTATTTCAATAGAATAACATGAAGAACTATTCAAATTTCATTCATATGCGGGTATTTTATAGAAAGAAAAGTACAAAATGAAGAATTTTTGTTATTTTTGGTGAACGTTTTGACAAAAGAGGACTATCAATCATTGAGAATTATAATTAAATAAGAGCCTAGAAAAAATTTACTACTTATATAAGAATAAAATAATGCTTACATCTACATATATAGGGTGTCTGAGAAGTTCCTATACTTTTTTTCAATATTTTAACAGCTTAGAACTGCTACATGGATTAAGAAATCAAGATTGTTAAGATTCAGAGACGTTTATTATAGTAATAGCAATATTCAATAAAATATTTACAACAAATGCTCAAAATTATGCATATGCACGGAGGCGCTTTGGGAAATTGTTGACAATGGTCGCGCACTGTCCGATGGTAAGTTCACTATATAGTTCGATCATATAGTGACAGGACGGCCGCTACGAGGAGGTTTCGACGTGCTATCCAACTCTTGCTAACGTTTTATGGCATCAGAAACAGTCAGTTAACCAGTCGTCTTTACAATCTCAGCTACCTTCATACCTTTCCTGCGTAATTCTGTAATAGTAATGCGCTTGTTATCGCGATTCTTGGTAAAATTGCACGACGAGTGTAAATAATGAAAGCAAATAAAAAAATAGAATTATAATGACAAAAATTAGTATTTCCAAAAGTACGTTAACTTTTCAGACACCCAGTACATAAATTTAATATTCTATATTAAATTACTTTAATGAATGGAATAGAATCAGAAATGTACGAACATTTAAATGCCCATAGTAATCAAATATTAAAAATAAAAAAAAGAATTTTATTGATCGATCCCATTATTCCAATAAATTTTACTTATGATTAGAAACACACTTAAAGCGTTTTCACGTTTAATTAACTTGCGAAATAATGTTCTTTTCTAATAGTTTACAAATCATAACTAGTCATAATGAATTCAGGAGAAAAAAAAGGAAGACGAAACTATATCATACCTTGCGGCTATTAAGATTAAAGAAAACTTTGTTCAATAGTTTGGACACTAGAACTTAGATTAATAGATTGCAATATAAAGTGTAAAGTGAAGAAACACTTACAATTTTTACTTAATTAGAGTACATATGTATACGAGTATATATAAATAAATAAAAATATGAAAGTTTTCACGTTGGCAATGTACAATTTCTGCTCTTACAAAATGAAGAAATGATAATCAATCGCGTGTTCTTTTTGTAGGTCCATTAAGAAGACCTTATTCACCAATACTTTAATAAATGCTTATTGAATTTAGTTTTTATTACCTTTTTCAAAGATTCACATACAATTAATGGTCCTAACCACCTTTCCCCATTTTTAGTTAATATATCTCCGAAAATGCAAATTTGGTTCTTAATAGAGCTTTACTTTCCCGAAAAGTTTCTCAATTATTTTTGTTAAACATTCAAAATTCCAGTAATTATTTCTTTTAAATATATTTAAAACTAAACTAGCTAATAGTTTAGTCAGTGGAGGCATAGTTTCCAAGCCGTGTTTTTCTTGAAAAATTTTTTCGTTAAATTTTTTGATCAACCGAATTGAATTATAAGATTTGATGGAAATCCGTAGTAAATTCTTTACATTTGATCAAAAATGACAAATAGAACTATAGCAGTTAGTGGCACCTGATTACCCGTAAAAACTTTTGGTCCTCTGTTATTCTTAATCAGCATGTGCAAAATTTCAATTATTTTCCTTAAATAAAATTTGCCTTACGGCAAAAATAAACTCAATTTCGGCTGAATCTCTATTTCATTAAAATAGAGATTCAGCCGAAATTGTGATAAGTGTATGTAAGAGCGTACAAGCAGGCAAATATCTTTCTAAAAATAATTTATTTAATGTTTGCATATCATAGAGAAACATGCAACTCGTCGTTTAAAACTCGTTATGCGAAATGTCGTACCATACATAACCTCTTTTATGGGGTATACAATTTTGTATTAATACACATAGAGAAACTAAAAATAGATTCATAATACTAGTACTATTTCAATTAAAGAATGGTATTTAAAACAAGCTACAAAGGCTGTCAAAAGTCAAACACTTTCAATTTTCCACACATTATTGTTATTGATGGCTGATCTGGAAGAAGAAATAGCCAAGTTTTATTTTAATTGATTGATTTTTTTTTATTCTCGCACTTCTCAAATTCAAAACCAATAATTTTTTTTATTCATATTTTTAGTGTTTTAGTGTTAAATTTAGCTTTAAGCTAAATATATGTTTACATATATAATAAGTATGATTGTGTTATTTTTTTAGCTAAATAACTTACTAACTGCTTATTAAAATTAAATAAAGATTCTTTAGTATAAAAAATGCCATAACATTTAACTGCTTCTGAAATAAGCTGGTATTATTCATAATAATATAGGAGTACACAGCCTATAGAAATCAAATGATTCAGATTCGATTCATAAGACGAAAAAAAAGGTTCATTCAAAATTCTTAATGAAAAAAATAGAAATTCAGAAATCGAAGTCAAAAAACTTGAAGATTTTTTTTTGTAACTTTTATTAAACAAACCAAAAAAAAAAAAATTTAGTTGAGAAATTGGTAACCAAAAAAAAAATGGGAATATTTCTTTTATTATAAAGTTTTGACACTTGTAAAGCGAGATTAATTTGATTAGCACCTTTTATTAATAATTACAGTCTAAGTCATTTTATTGAATACAAATAAAACGTGAAATAATAGTTATGAAAAACGATTTTTGTAGGTAAAGTTTTATTATAACAAATGATGAAGATAAAATTTAACAATATTAGAGGGATACAACAAAATGTGTTAGCACAATGACCAACCAGTTTGTATGGTATTTAAAGTAGGATTGATGGTAGTCGAAAATTGTTTATTAAGTTTTTAATCAATATCCAATTAAAATTATTTTCTCTTTATAGTAAATAAATATTTTAAATGATTTTTAAAGACTTTTTTTTATTAAAAAACAGCAAAGAGTATGAATTAATGAAAGACTTTGATTGTTTTCTATGTGTCGGATCACAATATGAGAGTTTTGCTAAAGAGAGAGAGAGAAAAAAAAGTAATCGAGTTGATTAAGTATTTTATAAAATATAATTAAAATAATTATTGGTAAATTAATTATTTTTAATTAAGAATGACAGGCATATCCTGTTTATTTAACGATTAAATATTAAAAATTATTAATTTTTAAACATTAATTGTTATTAACTATAACTTGTTAAATTAGTTTTTTTATTAAAAATGTAAATAGATATTGAAAAAAAATTTTAAATAGCGAAAAAATTCAATGTTTACAGTATAATCAAGATAGGCACTAGTATTTGCAACTGATTTAAAAAACAAGTAAAAACGTTTCAGTCGGTATGAACCGATTGAATTATACCCTGCACCTTTCATTGTTGTATAGCAATTACTCAAACCTGTGAAACCATTCTATAGAAACTTCACGGATATGTCTGATCTATAACTGAACACACAAGTTTCATGAATCTGACTTTATTATTTTTCCAAATATTTAAAATTAGCTTCTGGAGTTGTATGGCAGGTACCCGAACCTGTCAAGCAATTCCTCTTAAACTTCACAAATATATCTGATCTATAATCGGACATCCAACTGCCAAGTTTCATGAATCTGACTTTATTATTTTCCCAAATATTTAAAATTAGCTTCTGGAGTTGTATGGCAGGTACCCGAACCTGTAAAGCAATTCCTCTAAAACTTCAGAAGTATATTTGACCTATAATTGGACACATGACTGCCAAGTTTCATGAATCTGACTTTATTATTTTGCCGAATATAAAAAATTTGCTGTTGGAGTTGTATGGTAGCCACCCGAACCGGTGCAGCTATCCCATTATAATTTCTAGAGCATGTGTAGAATATAATTGGACACATGTATACA